GATCACTTGAGCCAAATACATGGGAAATACTAACTGCTATATGTTAGAGTTTAATATGTAGTAAAATAGGCTAGGAATTGATGGGGGATGGAAGTTCTATTTACGAAGTCTATTAGGACAATTGTTAGCTACTTTGAAACAAAATCAAATTAGATCTTTTCTCATGAAAATGGAATTAAAAATGGAATTAAAGAAAATGTAAACTAGCCAAACCATAAATTTAAAATGAAAACTGAAGTGAAGTGGTATAGCATCTCTGGAAGAGAAAGAACTTTCTAAGCAAAGGAAGAAATTAAGCACAAAGAAAATGAGCGACAGATTTGACTATTAACAATGTTAATTTCTTGTGTATCAGAAAAGAGTAATGGCAAACATCAAACTGAGAAAAGATACTTGCAACAGATGAAGGACTAGTATATAAAAATTCATAATGTGTTAGGAAAAATAGTAAGATCCAAATGGTTAAATGGCAAAGCACACAAAGAGCCAACTTATGAAAAAGGAAATACAACAGCTTACCAACCATATAAAAGACACTCACTCACTAATCAAAGAAATATGAAAGAGTGAGGCACCAAACTTCAAGAATTTTTGTTAACAATATACCCATTTCTAGGGAGGGCATAGTGAAATGGACACTCTCATGCATTACTGCTGAACATATATGTAAACTGGCATAACAATTTAGGAAAAATATTTGGCGATCATGTATATGTCAGGAATCCTAAGCTGTTAATGTTCTCTGACCTGGAAATAGCACAACCTCAAATTCATTATAAGGAAGTAATCACAAATACAAGGAAATATTTATGGACTAAAATATGAATCATGATGACATTTGTAAGAGCAAAGAAAAATGGAATGATTCAAATGTCTAAAAATGATGACTGGTTAAGGAAAGTATAGTACGATCACTGGCCAAACTATCATGCAGCCATTAAAAATGATGTCTTAAAACATATATGAATAGGTTTTTTTTCACGTTAAGTGGAAAATGCAATAGAATACGATATTGTAAGAGCACTTATGTGTTTAGAAAACAAATTATTTTATTAAAATATGGAAGAAAATTCCCTTAATTTTCAACAGTAATTATGTTTATGTTATAAAACTATAGATGATTTCCCTCATTTTCATTACTTACATTTTTCTGGTTTTCTATAAGAACAGGTGTTGGGAACTATTTTTAATAGACTCATTATATAAAAATCTGCATTTATGTGTCGAAAATGCCTGAAAGGAAAACTCACTTTAAAGGAAGGTGAGCAATTCTGTAAATGGAAAACTTCTTTAGTAGTTTATGAGATTGAATTTTCCAGAACAGAACAGAGGAAAAGGCCATATCTAAAGGTCATGATTGGGGGCTCAGAATCAGGAAAAGGAGCAAGCACAGTTTGAAAATAGCGTTTAAAATAACCTTTGAAAGGCACACATAATGTATTATTTCTGCAATGAAAGTACAGAAACTAAAGCTCAACCAAGCTTTCTTGGATAATGGGAGAAAACGGGAGGTGGAATGAGAAAATATTCTGAGCTATATCTTGTTCGTGTGTATATGACACCATTTACATTGTTATTTCTACTGCATATCATAAGCACACAAGTTTTAGTTTCAAATGAATATGTGGTTTATTTCAAAATAAAATTTGATTTTTGTTACTACAGTGTAGTACTAAAATGGGGGCATGAAATTTTTATGTTTCTCAAAAGCGACCCTTGGCTCAAGAAGAGTGAGAAACTCTCATAAAAGACAATGTATCCTTGTGTCTTTCCTCTGTAACACAGCCTGGCAATCATGATCTAAGACTTTGAGGCCCCAGTGTGCCCATCAAAAGACTGGCTAGGAGACTCCCAGTTGGCCTACCAAATTCTGCTACTTCATAAGGAGGTTTGCGCGGAGAGCTTAGAGTCATAAAAATTGCATTTATGCAAGATTCACTTGGGAGTAAAAACTTACATGTTTTAGAATTTCCATTCTAAGTTAATTCCTTATGTGGTCCTGGCCTACATAGGCAAAAGGATAAAAGTAGCCTCTTTTGCATATTTTTCCAACAGCGATCTTATACAAAAGGTAGGCACACATTACGATTCCTATTTAACAGGTATGGCAATCAAGACCCAGAGAAGCTGAGTGACCTCCCCAGAGCCCACAACCTGGCCTGATTATCGGTCCAAAGCTCTTTGCAGTAAAGAAGGGTATTTGCCTTGGCAATCCATTTGTTAACTCAAAAATATTTATTGAGTGTCTATTATGTACTTCATAACGTGCCTCATAATGGCTATTATGTGCTAGGTTGTGTTCCTGGTGCAGAAGAGTTTCCATTTTTGCTGAAGGACATAGCAATACATAAGTAAACAAGCAAATGTCAGCTAGTTTAAAGCTCCTTGAAGAAAAATAAAGTCATAGAGTATAGCAGGCACAGGGAGAAGCTACTTAATTTAGATAGGGTGGTCAAGGAAGTGGTCTCTGAGGCAAGACGCAGAAGTAACAAAGTGTAAAGATCCTAGGAGGAGAACACAGTTGGCAGGTTTGAGAAACAACAAAGAGACCAATGTGGCTGAGTCTTTAGGTGCATTCTTGCCACACACTGTCTCAACTTACTCTCCTGCCCAGGCTTCTTTTTTATCTCTAGGGTAAGGGGCTCATTATCTCTTTTCTGAGCTTCTTTAAAGAAGCCTTTTCACTTGTCCACTCATTCCTCCACACTCTTTTGATAAGAAAAGAGCCGAAGTGTACTAGATGGCTTTCACTGCCCTTCCCCAGTTTCCACTTGGGAAAAACAAAAAAAAAAAAATCATAAGGATCTGAGCCCAAGACTAGTATCAAAAAGACAATAAATAACAAGTGTCCACGAGGATGCGGAGAAAAGTGAACCCTTCCACACTTCTGGTAGGAATGTAAATTGGTGTAACTACTATGGAGAACAGTACAGAGGTTCCTCAAAAAAACAAACAAACAAACAAACAAAAAAAACCATGGGAATAGAAATACCATGATCCAATAATTCCATTACGGGGTATTTACCCAAAGAAAACAAAAACATTAATTCAAAAAAACATATGCACCCCTATTTTATTGCAACATTATTTACAATAGCCAAGATATAGAAGCAACAAGTGTCCATCACCAGATGAATGGATAAAGAAGATGTGGTATAATATATATAATGGAATATTACTCAGCCATAAAGAGAATGAAATCTTGTCACTTGCAGTGACACGGATGGAGCTAAAGAGTATAACGCTAAGTGAAATAAGTCAGGGAAAGACAAATACCGTATGATTTCACTTACATGTGGAATCTAAAAAACAAAACAAAACAAAATACTCTTAAATACAGAGAACAAACTGATGGTCACTAGAGGGAAGAAGGACAGGAGGGGATGGATAAAATAAGTGAAGGGGATTAAGAGGTACAAATTTCTAGTTATAAAATAAATAAGTCATGAGATGAAAACTATAGCATAGAGGATATAGCCAACGATACTGTAATAACTTTGTATGGTGACAGATAACGACCACACTTATCACGGTGAGCATTTTGTAACACATAGAATTGTCACATCACTATGCTGTACACCTGAAACTAATATAACATTGTATGTCAACTGTACTTCAAGAAGAAAAAAAGATCTGAACCCAAGAGATTCGCCTGCTTCCACGTATTTCTCTTAAAATCTTTATAATAAATGTATTTAGCATGGCCTGAGAGTTGCCACCAACATGGCTTGACCATGTAAAAAAATAATAATAAATAGACAACAAAAATCATCTAATAATGGCCTCAGTGTGATCTTTCTTCACTGACCCGGAAAGTATTTCACTGTCTTGCAATTAGGTATCAAAATTACTACTGAGCATTTTCCTTCATTTTGTTTCTGACTAGAACTACTACACAGTGCAGGTATTTCTCGTGTGACAAAAAGTGATCGATCTAGTTCCTTCCTTAGAAATGTCCCATGAGTACTGAAAGAGCTCGACTGAAGACAGATACAATAATAATAACAATAGCTTAGTTTACTGAGCATTTATTATGCATCCAGTCCAGTGTTAAATTCTTTACCTGCATTATCACACTCTCTTATGAGATAGTTCGTATTATTATACCCATTTTATGGACAAGAAAACTGGAAGGCCGAGATGTTAACTTGCCAAGGTCACAAGCCTACCATCAGACTGGCAGTGGATTAGGTCTCAGATCTCCCTGATTCTGGAGCCCTGGAGCAAAGATGAAGGATCATCTGATTCAAAATGGGCGTTAAGACTCAGGCATGCCTAGGTAAAGGGCAGAGCTGAATCATAACAATGGTGTTTTTCCTCCATGCCCTTTAGCACTACTGTCAGTCCTAGATTTTTATCAAGAAGGGTCCCACTTCTGAAACTCCCGGCCCCCACACACAGCTCCCCTAAAAGAAGCGAAGTAAGTAGATCCAGAGAGGCAGTTTGACTTCCAAATATCCCCCTCTTGGCACCCCGACCTAACCGGCATTGCATTCTTAAAGTAATGGATTCCGTTTCTCGGTCATCCTCCTCTCCCAGAATGTGATGGTTTCCTTTGAGAGTACACCTCCAATTCCATGTAAAGAGATCTGCAGAGAGGCCGTTCCTTTTCTCAGGAGCCGGTGGCCCCGGTTCCAGCCTGTCCACCATCCCAGGGCTCCACCCGCCCGGCCTCCACTAGCGGTCAAAACGGAAAGTCGGGAGCCTAGATCTTTCTCAGAGCAAAGGTAGATTCTAGGCTGCGTCTCCCCACCCCAAAGGGCATTCTCTGCCGCTGTCACAAAAGGCCCGGGGAGGCTTTTCTGGAGAGTGAAGTCCCTGGGAGTGAAACCCCCATGAAGGGCCTAACCCGAAGCCCGGTCCGCGACCACCCTGGGCTGGACCTGAGGAAGACTGTCTCATGAGCAGAGAAGGAGGCCTCGACATCGCCTGCTGCCGCCCGCACCCCCAGCCAGAGCCCTCAGTGGGTCTGGTGCCCGTGGCCACCAAGACGTACTCACAGCACACACAGGCAGTACACGCCGGGGACGGTCTCACTGTCTCTCAGCAAATAGCTGCCATCCAGACCCGTAGCAAGTAGGAGCTTCTCCCCCGTCTCCCGGCTGATTTTGCCATGGTACACGGCCACTGCGTCCATGACCTAGTGGACTCGTAGGCCGCTGAGGCGTGGGACAGTGGAAGGCAGATGCCGCTGCTGCTGCAACCGGGCCCCAAGTCAGCCACCTGACTCCTAGTTCAGCCAGATGTGCAGAAAAAGAGAGAGGAGTGCCGGAACAACAGGATGTTGTCTATCTGCCTTAAAACCTCCTTTCACACTTCAATTAAAACCAGCTCAGCAATTCAGAGGCTTGCTTATTGCCACAAGGTTCAATCCCCCTCCCCGCCCCCACCCTCCGTACCCCTACAACACAACACAGGGTTCAGATGAGACGGGAGGCCAGTTGGAAGAAGGTCCTTGCAAGATCTGTGTTGTACTACGGTGGCAGCCCCTGGCCCACAGACAGGAATGCTTGCTAATGCTTCCGTTCTTGCAGTTGTGCCAGGGGCCACCAGGGATGACTTAGCTTAACTAGTCCTCAGAGATGTTGATGATAGAGGCAAGGTGTACACGGCCCTCATGTGGGCCAGAAACATGCTGACAGAGAATGAAAGAACCAAAAGCTCTGAGACCAAAACACAGAAACTACCAGTACTATCAGCAGGTAGTCACTCCTGAGCACAGCCGGGAAGGTCCTTCACAATCAAAAGTAGTTGGTGAAAAACCTGCATGGGCCAAGTCTCCTTTTCTACTCTTCCTAGTCCTCTTCAGTAGTCCCGATCCTGAGAAAATGCTGATTTTTCCTACTTTCTTGGCCAAGATCCCAGGGTCCTGATCGAGGGACAAAAATCAATCTATGTCTAGGCCGCCTAGATGGCTCAGTCAGTTAGCATCTGCCTTCCACTAGGGTCATGATCCCGAAGTCCCGGGATTTCCAGCTCCCTGCTCAGTGGGGAGTCGCCTTCCCCCCTCCCTCTGCTCCTCCCCTGCTCATGCTCACTCTCACTCGCACTCTCTCTCTCTCAAATATATAAATAAAACCTTAAAAAATTAGTCTGTGTCCAAACATGTTCCAAATATTTTTTAATGTGATGAGCCTTAGATGAGAGAATGAATCATTTCATTGGTGCTTTGTCTTTATGTGGACTTGTATATGCCCTTTGATGTACGGGGTTTGCCTTTCCACATTTGGGGCCTAAAACTTGTTTTAAATCATATTGCAAGTGTTGATAATTATATCCTCTGTTGTTAACAGAGGATATGTTTCTTCTTCAGTTGATGCTAAACCATCATTAATTTTTTAAAGCCTTTCAACTTTCATTTCCTTCTCTGAAATGAAGCATTGTTTCTATTTTAAAATATGCAGTTAAGTAATATTCTCCTCAAACTTCCCCTTTTTTACTGGAATAAGACTTTGTTTAATGCTTGAAGCTGGATGGCCTTCTACATTGTTCCTTTTGATTATGTAAAATACTTGTAAAACAGGAATTTAAATAACTGAAGTCCTGTGTTTGTTGTATCTCTTCCACGACTTCGGCACCTAATTCCAGCACCTAATTCCGTGAAAACATGGCAAGGCTGGGACCTCAAGGCTGGGAGAACAAGTTCTAAATCCTCACATGCCCTACTAATGGATCAGATGCACAGAGTTGCCTTGCATCAGAGCCGGATATGTTTTTGCCACCTGCTAGAGTTGAGAACAATCCTCTCAGATTTCAATGGCAGCTAGTAGTGACTCACGTTTTTCTTTCTTTAAGTAAACTCTACCCCTGACAAGGGGCTCAAACTCATGACCAGATATCAAGGGTCGCATGCTCTACCGACTGAACTGGCCAGGTGTCCCAAGACTCTACTTGATTGAAGCATGCTCAGCCTTAGACTCTATCAACCTTAGTAGATGAAGTGTAAGCATAAGCCTCTTACAACACCAAGAATAAATAAAGAAAGTAAAATAGTATTCAAGAGGATATTTGGGGATAGCTCTGGGGAATTGAGCCAAGATTATCTCATCATCTTTCTACCTCACTTGTTTATGGTCGAGTCCACCTTTCACCCTCCCTCGTGCTTTGGGTCAAGGAAGAAATCAATCTAATAAGTGAATGCATACATCAATGTTAAGGATTCAAGATATTCAAGAAATATCTATATTTTGAGTGGGCAAATGATTAGCCCAAAGAAGTTCATCACAATGGTGAAATTTCAGACGTGAAAGGGGAAGATAGGGTAGGGGGTCCAGGCCCTCATTCAGTCCATTTCGACAACAGTGCACCTGTGAGGTGAGCTGTGAGAACATTGTGTCACATAGGTAAAAATGAAACCTAAATTTTGTTTGGTTTAATGTTTTGGTTTTGGGGGGTGTTTGTTTTTTTGTTTTTGTATTTTGGTTTTTGGTTTTTGTGTTTTCTTTGGTCTCTGAACAACCCTGTACAAATCATCCACAAATTTAGGAACAGCACAACCTGGATCTGACAGCAAAAGTGTACCATGCATTCTTCTTTTCGCTCTGTTTTTGGTTCTGTGTTGCTAAAATAGCACACCTGTCAAAGCAGCCAGGTACGATGGGGTTCAGCACAACTAAACTCGTACAAAAAAAGAACAGATAAATTATAAGGTAATAGTCCAACTCGCACATCCAGCATGTCGTTGTCATTTCACAAGCAAGCTGACAGCTGGGCCAGCCCTCTATTGCAGTGTTGATGAAAAATACTGACTTCATCACTCTAGTGCTACACCAGTACTGAACCTGACTTTTTAGCAAATTCAGAACTTTGTGCCAAGCTTGAAATATAGAGCAAGAGGGTTCAAAATGACTCTCTTCCTTCTCTCTCTTGCCATGCCCACAAGAGAGGAAAAGAGAAAAATGAGAGAGGGGAGAAATAGACCTAGTGGAGGTACCAGTAGAGGAAGAGAAAGAATGGGCCCCCAATACAAGTATAATCCACTCAGAAGCAGAATTATCTGATGAATCCCTTATTGTCTATCTCCTGCACTAGAATGTAGGGTCCTTGATGGCAGGAATTTGTGTACTTTACTCACCACCCCAGTATTCTCCATGTGGCACATTTTATTTCTTTATTTTTTTCATCTGTTTTTATTTATTTTTAATTAAATTCTACACCCAACGTGGGTCTCGAACTCCCAACCCCAAGATCAAGAGTCTCACGCTCTGTGGACTGAGCCAGCCATGCATGCCCATCTACCACATATTAGATGCTTAAATATATTTGTTGAGTGAGTGAATGAATGAAATTAGTGCTCAAAAGAAAATAAGAGAAAAAATGCATACACACACACACTTGGTTGTACATGCCTCTGGCCCACCTTTGGAGCAACAAAATAAATTGGAAGGAGGATTAATCCAGCAATTATGAGGGCCAAATTATACTCCATGTTTTACCATGAAATCACTTTTTCTTTCTGAGCCTTACTTTCTCCATCTGCCAAATGGACTTGAACCAGATGACCCTTAAAGCCACTTTCAGCTTTAACACTCATTTTGTGCTTTAAACAAAAGCCAAGAGTACTTTCCAGAGAAACAGAGGGGAAATGGACTGAGCTCATTTGTGTGCAAGAAGCAAGAGCTGTTTCCTCAAATCTCACCCAATAGAGGAAAGATTTTTGTTCTTGTTGTTTTTTAAATGACCTAAGAAATAAAAATCATGAGGTGGAGGAAGAGAGCTTCACAGTTTAAAGCAAACTACAACCTTTTAAAATATAAATGCCATTTAAGTCAAATATAAAAGCATTGACAAACTGTCAGCCAAGGTTGAAAGTGTCCTCTTATCTAGACTTGTCACCTCCTGAGGTCTCTGAGAGGTGACAGAATTTTGCATGTGGATGCCCTGTCTGAGGTGCTAATTGTCTTCAATTCAAATGCCCTAGGCTTTTCTCCAACCCAGGTAGATTAAAAGGATGATGCCAAGGGTGGTCAGTTTTATAGAGTGGATCTGACATTTCAAAATCTTTTTCTCTAACCTTTCAAAACTAACTTTGTTCTTCAACTAGCTCATCTATAGGTGTGAATTCTCCTGTGACAGTGTTATGATTTGGCACCTATGGTGACTTTACACATTCTCTCGGCACTTACTAAAATTCACTTCCTTTACAAAAATGAGAAAAAGAAAAAAAAATGTCTTGAAAAGAGCACCTCCTTTTGAAAATATCTGGGTTTATCTGTGAGGCTAATTTTTCTAATGCCCCTTTGTTTTGTAAGCGAGAAGCCAGAGACAGGGGTTGTGTGTACTTAAGGCTATTTTAAATATGTTTATTCTTTCAGCCAACATCATGGGCACCTACTGTATGATGGACACTGTAGCAAGTATTTAGGTTAGAGAGTAGAGCTGTGACTGAGTAAAGGATGGGCTTCTGGGGGAACAGTAGCAGGACATCTAACTCAGCTTCTATTCTAAACCTGCACAACCTCACTGAGACAGCAAGTTCTTGATCTTTCTGTCTGCCCCGTATGGTTCCTTGTACTTGTCCTAGTTTTACCTCCTTCATGACTTAGAGGACACTTCCTAATTCAAGCTAAAAAACTCTTGCCTGCTTCTGAAGTTTTGTTCTTGGAATCATAGCTCAGCTTTGCTAACCACATCTTACATTCTATGCATTTCTCCTAAACATTTTACATGTATTATCTCATTTATTTTTATCAACAGTCTTATGAAGCAAATTATTATTATTATTATTATTATTATTATTATTATTACTATTTGCCTACATTTTACGAATGGGGAAGCCAAAGAGTCTAGGTAGCCTGCTCAATGCAACACAATTGGTCAGTGTCTCACCTGGGAACTGAATACAGGCTGCTGATTTCAGAGTCTGTGTGTTTCACTAATATCCTTTTCTGTCTCCCAACCTTAATTCTTAGGTCACTGCACTGAATTGGTTTGGCTTCAATCTCTTATCTAGCAGGTGTAATTTTGACTTCTGGAATATTCTTCATATCCTCCTCAAGTGTCAACTGTTCTCATGCCCTGACTTGTAGCATGTCTCTGCCTATCTGTGTGCTTTATGAGATCAGGGACACTGCTTTAGCCTGGGCCTTATTGATTAGCATGTCTTGGAGGCTCTTACAGAGTCAAGGTCTGTTCACCCAGGCTTACAGATCTGGAATCTGGATCATCAGCTTATCCATCTAAAGTAATAGAACATTGAATCACTGTATTGTACACCAGAAACTAACACAGCACTGAATGTTAACTCTACTGTAGTTAAAATAAAAACTTAAAAAAAATTAAGAGTGAAGTAACAGAACACCACGTGGTCTGGGTGTCTTCTGTCCTGGGTTGGCCTGGATGCACATATGAGATCTTATTAAGGAGTT